GCCAGCGAAGCAAACCCTATCCAAATCTTCCCCCAACACAGTAGTATTCCACTGCACGTTGCTCCCACCCTGCAGGTAACCATTTACAAGGTCCTGTATAAAAGCACACAGGTGTCTCTCTTCTCCCGTCTTGTGCTCCTGGGAAGGAAGATTGTTACTGGAAGAATCGAACTGTGGAGCCAAGTGGGAGGATCCAGCCACAGAAGCGGCTGCTTTGTTAGAGGCGCATTCCCAATGATTAGGGGGAACACATGAAGCTGCCTGATACTGAATCAGACCTTTGGTCCTTTGAAGTCAGTACTGTCTATTCAGACCGGCAGCGGCTGTCCAGGGTCTCAGGCAGACATCCTTCAACATCACCTACTGCCGGATCCTTTTAACCAGAGATGCCAGGGACTGAACCAAGCAGATGCTCTACCATTGAGCCACAGCCCCTCCTGAAGTCCAACTGAAGAAATGAACGCCGGACATGGCAAAGATTGTATTTGGCCCATGGTGACTACAGGGAACCTCCACATTCAGAGGCACTAAACTGCTAGACATCAGGGGACGGCCTTGGCATCTATGCCAGGGGTGTCAAACATGCGGCCCAGGGGCCAGATGAGGCCCCCGGAGGGCTTCTATCAGGCCCGCAGTGGAACTGGCTGCCTTCTGCTTCTTCTTCCAGTTCTGCTGCTGCTGAATCATCGTAGGTTTGCAGCTTACAGATACACACCTGAACAGCATACTCAAGACTGCAACAGCACAGACATTTTGATGCAATAATCCAGAGCAAGAGGTGTCAGTTATCAGACACTGTTAAATAAACAAAACATTGCAAGAGTGCTAATGTTTTAAGCATGTTTTTATTTTAAGTAAAAAAAAAACCAATCCTTTGTGTTTGTGTCCTTTATAAAGTTTATATCTCTGCTACCTGCTGGCTCTTCGGCTTTGAAACGGAGATGAGCACCGCAACCCTAGAGTCGGACTCGACTGGCTTTCGAGCAAGGGAACCTTTACCTTTACCTGGTATTACATTTTATGACACACATGGCCTGGCCCAACAAGGTCTCATTTATGTCAGATCTGGCCCTCATAACAAATGTGTTCGACACCCCTGCTCTATGCCCTGTTGTTGCCCTTCTGGAATCCTTGGCTCCTGTGTGAGTCAGGATGCTGGATGCTGTGTGAGTTGTGTGAGTTGGGATGCTGGATGCTGTGTGAGTCAGGATGCTGGATGCTGTGTGAGTTGGCTCCTGGATGCTGGATGCTGTGTGAGTTGACTCCCGTGTGAGTCAGGATGCTGGATCAGATGGACCACCAAGTCTGATCCAGCAGGGCTCTTCTGACGGCCTTAGCGTCGCTTGGCCTCCGCCACGGGATGAGATTCAAAATTAAGATCCCCAAAATTACACTAGCCGCATTGAACACATTTCCCCTTAATCAAAAAGCCTGATGCACAGGATTGGCACCTTTGACAGAAGGACTCTGATGACCATCTGGCTCCCTTCCTATCAACCATCCTTTATTCAAAGCCTGGGGAGAGAATCCTTTACGCAGAGACACAGCTCCCTGATAACTGAAACCAAAGCATCCCAGGAGCTGCCAGGAAGGGCTGTTACATGCCAAGGGCAACAGAGCTGTAAGAAAGCCCCAGGGGGCACTGAGGTCCACAAATCAACATCTGCGAGTGGTTCCCAGCCCCAGGGACATCCAGCTAGCCTCGACCAGGGCCAGGGCTTTTTTGGCCCTGGCCCCTGCCTAGCTGAATGAGCTCCCGTGTGAGATCAGGGCCCTGCGGGACCTATTGCAACTCCGCAGGGCCTGCAAGATGGAGCTCTTCCGCCGGGCATTTGGTTGAAGCGGTGGACGTCCCCCCCCCCAGCTCTTCTGGCCAAATTGTTCGATTCAGACTGGTCATCTGACTACTTCTATAGTTACACGGTATCTTATGATGGTTTATGATATTTTACGTGTAAACTGTTATTTTAATACTGCTTTAATGGTATGATTTAACTGCTGTACCCTGAGGCCATCTGGGGAGGGTGATATATAAATCTAATAAATAAATAAAATAAAAGCTGTGCTGTGACTCCACCCTATGAATTTCAGGCAGTTCATTGGTGCACTCCAAGCCCAACCCATATGTGGGCAGGACCTGGAGAAAAATCGATGGAATTAAATTATTAGTCACAAGGTATAGATAGAAACACTATTTTGACTAGGACAGTGATGCTCTGTGTTCTTGTGGGGGGGGGGGCAACAGTGGGAGGGTATCTGGAGTTCTGGCCCCGCTGGTGGACCTCCTGATGGCAACTGGGTTTTGGCCACTGTGTGACAGAGTGTTGGACTGGATGGGCCATTGGCCTGATCCAGCACGGCTTCTCTTACGTCATTATAGATAGAACACTCTGTCTGGGGCAGTGATGCTCTGTATTGTCGGTGGATGGGAGGCAACGGTGGGAGGGCTTCTGGAGCTCTCCTTTTGGCCAGTGCGACACAGAATATTGGACTGGATGGGCCATTGGCCTGATCCAGCACGGCTTCTCTTACGTCATTATAGATAGAACACTCTGTCTGGGGCAGTGATGCTCTGTATTGTTGGGGCTTGGGGGGGGCAACAGTGGGAGAGCTTCTGGAGCTCTCCTTTTGGCCAGTGCGACACAGAATATTGGACTGGATGGGCCATTGGCCTGATCCAACATGGCTTCTCTTATGTTCTCACTTGGCAGCTGCTCTCATTCTTGCTTTCCCTGTTACGATCCGATCACTTACCCTCCACTCGACAGCAGTTGTCGCACATTTTGTTACAGTTGGCAGAGTCCCAAGCTTCGTCAAAATGCTGAGCTATCAGCACCCGGCGACACCTGGAAACAGAAACGCCCAGGTCAAGAGGCAAACGGGAAAGCACAGGTGGGCAGGCGCCTGTGTACTGAGCTTCAAAGCTACTGAAAAGGCATTACCTGTGCCTAGATCCTCGTCCCCCCGGGCTCTTAAAGAAAGCAATGCATGGCAAATTGAAAACAAACCTAACATTAAGGAGTGGTCTGACGGTTATTGAACACGAGGGTCTTATTGAACGTAGGCCTGAGACCTCTGTATCATCACAAATATATCTCTATAGAAGTTGCATTGTCTTGAGTACTGGTCTGATGTCCAAATGTTCTACTGGTGGCTTGAGGGGGACATTCAGCTATAGTATTCTGTACTCGGTGGAGTAGGGAATCGGAAGTTAAGAACAAACTGCTCTAGAAGCCCATGCTACCTTGGGAAAAAATCCAACAGAAACGGCACGTTTTTAAAAAGCCACCCCTTCACAAACACAGCTCCCAAACGCAGCTAACTTGCCTGCTCACGTTGTGGCAGTAGGAAACCATGTTGTACAACTTCTCTTGACCAACGTTTTCCATCACCACCATGGTACTGATTCGGAACATGTCCCCAAAACCGTTGTATAAGATGCAATCAGCTTTCTGGTCGTCCCGACCTAGAATGACAGTTTTTAAAATATGTTTTTTCCCCACGCGTGCGCTACTGTTAGGCAGCAGCTGCCCAGAATCTGCTCCTGGTGACTCCAACGTACCTGCGCGCCCACTCTCCTGGTAGTAGTTCTCCATGGACTTGCTCATCGAGTGATGGATCACAAACCTGACGTCCGGCTTGTCGATTCCCATCCCGAAAGCGACAGTGGCCACGACCACCTGGAGGACAAGAGACAGAGTATGAACCCCTCCCTGTTCTTCCAGATCTGCCAATGAGGCCTTGTTCAGGGTGCCATCTTGGGCTTTTTCTGTAGTCACCCTAGGATTGGAGAATATGCTCCCTTAGGAGGTACATACAGTTTCACGGCTTGCTCCTTTTTGGAAAATAATTAATTTTCACATGGCAGAGGGTGTAGTACAGCCAGGAGATCTGAAGATGGTCTGTCAGCCTGAAACTCTAGCTCTGTGTGTGGCAAGCTAGGTAAGTTTTTTAGGCTGAGAGAACTGTGACTGACCCAAGGTCACCCAGCTGGCTTCCAGTGGAGGATTGGGGAATCAAACCCAGTTCTCCAGATTAGAGTCCACCGCTCTTAACCGCTGCACCAGACTGGCTCCTTTTTGGAAACTAACAAAGAAACTCTCATTCCGTCAGGCTGCTGAGAGAGAGAGGTCTTTGTTTATGGACTGTTTTGAAATCTGACTGGTGGCAATCGTATTGTTATTTGGTTTTACTGGTGTATTTTAACATTCATTAATTTATTTACTTGGTTTATACCCTTTCTCCCCAACATGGTGCCCAAAGGCACCATGACATCTGCCAAGTGATTTTCAGAAAGTAGATGACCAGGTAGGGCTTTTGCCCAGAAAGGCTTCTGCTTGGCCACTGGAGATTTGATTGGCTATGCAGATTTTTTTTGGCAGCAGCGGCCACCGACGACAAAGAGCCTTCCTTTCGTACAT